TGCGAACTTCCGCATTACGATACGATTGCATAAAATAAATCGAAATAGTAATCGTTAAAATGTAAAGAACGTCACGATAGCATAATGTTTTACGAATTGAGTCGCGATAAAATTGGAGTTATTCGATAGGCAAAGCGAAGGAAATACGTTCGTTACACACTTATAGGTTTGAACGATCAACAGATCACGATCAAATTTCGAATCCATCTATCCCTCTGTGTCGATTAGAAAATAAAACTACTGCGAGTCACCAAGTGCTTTTTGAAATACGAGCACTCAATAACATTCTTCTGTTCTTCGCGTTTCGTCATCAAAGCATTGTCGTTTAATTTTCAAAACTATCGCGCGTTATTTTCGTCTTCGATACGACCAACTTATATGTATTACTTTTTTTAACAAAGTTACGTTTCCTTTATATACGCGTTTCCTCTTACCAATTACCAATACGAGTTTAACAGAACGAAAAATAATTTGCCCTTGGACAATTGGCAATATTTAAATAATTAAAGTTAAGCGATAATACTATCAACGATAATTATCCATGCCACATATTTACTCTGTACAAAGCAACCATTTTTGTTCTATTCTTCTCTGCTAATTAACCTGTTTGATTAGCATTATAAAAGATACGCAAACGTATGTATAAAATTAAATACAAAATTAATCGTAAAATAATGAAATATTTCATAATCTTTAATATAAAAATATGTTATATTTTGTGTAAATATTCATAGTACGAACAAATCACTTACTCTTCTTTTGTTACTGTCAGCTCTGCATTTGCCGCATCTTCCCTGTCAGCCTGTTCTGTAAAGTCAATGATTAAACATTGATTTCAAATATGATACAATTATTTAATGCAAATGCATTGTGAAAATTATGTCAAGCAATAACTTGTAACAGATACATAATATTACCTGTACTGATTTTATTAAGCTGATGATTGTCATCTATTAATGTCTTTGTATTAATTTCTGATTCCATTTCTTCTGTAAAATAACATTCCAAATAAATAAATATATAAGAGTATAATTAAAATGATTGATCGATACCATTTTCAAATATATCCAAATTCAAAAACACCAAAATCAAAATAATTGATAACAATTGATAAGAATAAATAAGTAACTAAGATATTTTTTAGTCGTCACGAGAAAAATCTAAGAAAAGAGTTAAAAATGAATAAATACTGTTGTTAAATGGAATAGTCGATAAAATGAATGAAATCATCAGCTAATATTTATTCGCTCTATTATTCACCACTATGTATATGTAACTGTCATATCCGATAAATAAGATTACTATATACATTTTTAACATTATTACGCATGATTAAGAAAATATGAAAAAATAGAATACATACCAATAATATCAAATTTGAAAATAAAATGTTTTCATCAAAGTGAACAGTTTAATTTATGATTCACTTTTTTCACTATCTTACACACATAATGCACCATCAAAGAGGAATACATTACTGGCAAAATCTTATTTACCGATTACAATTGTGAACATACACTTTACTTTTGATAAATTAATAAAAAAAACAAAAATATATATATAAACATGCGATCTAAAATAAGTTTACAAAACTTATTAGGTTAAACGGATTCTTGTTCTATACACTGTTCTAACTGGATACTATCAGAATTGCTTAATAAATGTAATCTAACCTATAAAAAATTCATAGTTAAACCGAAATTAATGGATTCGATTAGTAATAAACTATGTAAATATCAGCACAGGCAATAGATAGACAATGGGTTTCTATTCACATTTATCACACTGAATTGTTAGTACTTCAGCATCAGCAGCAGCAGCAGCAGCAGCAACACCTTTCCTATTAGATTACAGCGCTCTATGGCTAGCGGCCGATTTGCAAAGCACACCTTACGACTTTACAACCTTATCCCCACCACGGGAGTTATCAGATCTGTGTAATTAAGTTAGTATACGACTGTGGCCGGCATACGGGTAGTATGTCGAAATTAAAATGTTTGTCAATTTTGGCATTTCAAATGTTTTTAGTAAAAGGTATAGATGGTTCGATAGGTGATAGATCTCAGTTTTACAATTTGTGCCTTGAAAAATGTCATAATGATAATTGCGATAATGGTACGTATTTTCAATAATGTATCGGGGAAAAACTGAGTGACATAGTAAATTGTGACAAAAGCTTAAAAAAATTATGATTAATAATGTTATTACAAATTTAGTATTTTCCAACTAGAAAGTTAAGATAACAATAAAGAAAATATTTTTTTAGTGGTTTATCATGTATTATTATATGTACAGTATGTATATGTATATACCGATGTTAACTGATCATTTTACAGATCATAGATTTAAGGTACTACCTTCCTTATCATTAAGGTTATTATTTTGGTCTTGTAAGGAAGATTGTAGTTACAACTGTACTTGGAAGACAGTGGATCATTTTACATCTCATGGTTTAAAAGTTCCTCAATTTCATGGGAAGGTATATGACATTTAATAATAATAACATACATAAATATAGAGTAAAATATAAATTTTATAAACAATTGATTTTTATTTTAGTGGCCATTTATTCGTATTTTTGGCTGTCAAGAACCTGCTTCTGTCGTATTTTCCATATTAAATTTTTATGCTCATTTTACTATGTATTGGAAATTTAAAAGAAAATATGGATGTACTTATCCTATGTTTTACATATGGACTTATTTTAGTCTGGTATATATCTGTTATTTATATAAATATAATTCCCTTATTATATAATTTATATAAATATTTCTTATGTAAATTTAAAAAAATTTAATTCCAGGTATGCATGCATGGGTGGTTTTGGTCATCTATTTTTCATGCAAGAGATACTCCATTCACAGAAGTAATGGATTATTCCTGTGCATTTATTATGGTGCTTACATTACTGTATTGTATGCTACTAAGGTAATTTATACTGTTGTTAGATAGAATAGAATATTAATAAAAACATTTTAAAGATATCTCTTTATACATTTTAGAATAACTTATAAAAATAAGAGGTTATTTACTGTGATTACTTGTGGATACCTTAGTACGCTATATTCACATTTATCCCATTTATGGTCTGGTTACATTAACTATGACTATAATATGAAATTTAATATAGTTATAGGTAATTTAATCAATTATTTGTATTTCTTTCAATAATCAGACGTTTTTTAATTAAAAATTATGACTAATCATCGTAATGTTACAGGTTTTTTAACATTTGTTATAACAATGATATGGTGGCACCGTAATCGCAAAAAATTATCTTATATTTATCTAATTGGTTGGTTTAATATATTAACAGTTTTTGTTACTATATTAGAAGTAGCAGATTTTGCACCAATCTTTTGGATACTTGATGCTCATTCTTTGTGGCATGCCAGCACAGTTCCTCTTACAATTTTGTTGTATAGGTCAGTATAATTTATTTAGTACAATGTTAATACATTCTAAATATATTTTTATATAAAATTTTTAGGTTCATGATGGCAGATTGTTCTTATTTGAGTAAATGTTATAGTAAATTAATATTAAATATTAATCATCATATACATTAGTAATGTCATTACTAGTCATATATTTCTTTTGAGGTACTAAAGTGTTATTTCATTGTTACTTTACATAATAGTAAATATTATTCCGTATTTTTTTGTTAATTATAAAATACTATTTTTTATTAACATTAAATGAAATTTACAAAACAGAAATATATCTCTTTCGTGTACTACTTAATATATCAGTAGTATATATATTTTATTACTTTTTTTGAAGATATTGTTTATACACACACATACATATATATATATCCAAGTTATATATATACATATCCAAGTTATAATTTATAATAAAGTGAAATTAAAAATATAATTATAAATACAATGAATTTGTAATACACATTTTTTTTAGATTGATATGAATGATTATCTGTTAAAAGATCATTGAACACATTTCTTCAATCTACTTCTTGTTTTTGTAAATATTAATGTGTAACATGGCAGGATTAGCTGTCATTGGCAATGTAATTAATACTAAATATTAGACATTTTAGTGTTAACATATGAATTTAGAGCAAGGTATTAGTTCTGACTTAATACAGCCAGAGCTCATTGCATTTATTACTTAATACAGGAAAACATATAAATACTTTGGGGAATGTGTTGTAATATGAAGATATAATTGCATAATGTTTATATTAATTAAACCATTGACCGATTGATAGAACAATAGGTTTTAAGTACCCGGTATACATTTAAATTATTCGTATACCTTAATATGTAACAAGTAGTATACATATAATATAACAATCAATAAGATGTATACAATATTTTAAAGGCACGTTACATTAAACATTCTTTAGCTTTAATAGTACATATGCATATGTATATTGCTGACATTTAATATAAAAATGTAATAATGTACCTAATAATTTTGTACACTACTTCTAAAGAAATAAGTTCCCATTATGGGTACAAATTAAAACCTCTAAAAATTGTTATATTATAAATAAGATTAAAGAATTTAATCCTTCTTATGTAAATGTAATATAATTAAATATATTACTCATATATTTTAAGTCACAGTGTAAAGACAATGTGAGTCTGTTTTTTTCATTAGCATTGAACTCTAGAGTTAAGTATCTTTGTTCTAATAATCTTATGTTACAAAATTAATGGCAAGTTTGCATTTATTATGACTTTTTAAGTTTGCAATTGTCAATTTTTTAATAAAAAAGAAATTATACAAATTTTGCAAAACAAAAAGTGCATTTTATATAAAGTCAGTCTTATTATAAAATGTATCAAATAATTCCTGTATAGCTTACAGAAATATTTAATATTAAATAAATGCATCTTTCATATCTAAAACTGAAAGTAATTTTATACCATGTTTCTATTTAGTTGTAAGAGATATTGTTTCATTATATGAATGTAAAATTGTATAAAATTTAGAATTAAATTGTATAGTTTTCCTTACATATTTTTTTCTTCTATACTTCAATTGTGCGCTTGTATAAATGTGCAAATTAAATAACATTATTGTCGCAAAGTAACCTTTATATTTTTTAATGTTCTTACGATTTTAATATTTTGAATAATTTCATAAAGATTTTTGATAATAGTATATAGTTAAAAAAAGATTTATAAAAAGTCAATGGCCTAAATATTATTGAAAAATATAACTACTGATGTAGTTATTAAATAGATAGTAAGTACATATAAAACATTATAAATTTTTGTGCTTTTCTAAAAAAATTATATGAATAAATACGTCAATATATCACAATATGGATACCAAATGTTTTGCATTAATCTACTTTTTCTTCTCCTTCTTTTTTAAAGAATTAATTTTTGCTGTAATTTTCATTGTAAGTACTTTATATGTAAGTATATAAGATAGTATATATCAATCAATAATCTGTAATGTTTCTGTTATAAATGTTTAGCGCTTAAATAATGCCTCACTTTCTGGATTATCTTCTCTATGTTTCTCGAGATTTCCTGACAAAGTAGGATCTGGCCGCCGTCTTTTAAAGAACCCGAGTTTTCGGAGAACCAAAGTAATTAAGATAAATAATAACAAACCTGCTGCAACCGCTACTATGATTATCCATATTGGTACTGGTTCACCATCTTGGTGATCAAGAAGATTCGGATATACAATTATTTCAGCCTAGATATTAAAATATAATTATGAAGTTAAAAATGCCAAATACATGACATTAAAGTATAATTACAATTATACTCACAATTGCATAATCATCTTTTAAATTTTCTTGTTGTATTACAACATTTGGTGGTATAACAATTTTTGCATTAGAACCAATTTTTACTTCGTCTACTTTTGGATAATCTTCTACAAGAGTAGAATTCCACAATCTAAACATATGAAAAAGTTCATTTAGCAAATAAAGAATTCATTTAAAAAACATGTTTGTATAACTAAAAAATATTAAACATTACCTTGCTTTAACAGTAATAATTGCCTCCTGTTTTCGTTGCAAATTGTATATAAAGCATGTAATATCAAAGCATTTTGCAGTCCCAGTCTTACAATTCTATAATATTTAATGATAGTTTTTAAGTGTTTATTATATTTCCAAGATAAGATATCTTTTAAATTGATAAATTACTCACCATTGAAACTACTTGACGTCTGTGACCATCTTTATCAATGATCGTTCGTGTATTAACAACTTTTTCTGTATCTCGTCTAGTCCTCATGTGGTTAGTATGATTGTGTGGCAAGGGAGGAGGAGTAGATATTACAGATTGGAATACATCAATATCATCGTAGCTTATACTATCTTGCAATTTTAGTGGATTAACTACTTGCCCTGATGGTAATATACATTCACCATCACCTAAAGCTACAAAGTTATAGAGTAAGTAAATATACTGCATATATTTCAATATTAAATAAGATATAAAAACACGTTAAATTAGTATAGAAAGAAATTTTACCTTGTACAGTCGGTAGCTCTTCTAAATACAAAAGCCATTTACCATGGGCTTTGTCATTCGCAACCTCATAAGGCCACGAAATGTGAACTTCTAAACTACTTACTCTCCATGGACCCTCGTTGAACACTTCGTACACATGCGATACTTTCGGTCCTACTTCATTTAAATGTTTTATGGCAGATTCACCTATAACTGGACCACCATAAAAGGCCCACTGAATTTTCGCACTCCTATAATTTTAATCATTTGTTTATAATTAATGTGCGATTTGATTTTGTATTACATTATCATTCTTTCTTGATATATAAATGTAAATAAATGTTACCCTTTAATTGATAATTCTGCTTGTTTCAATACTGTAGCTTGTAATCTTATAGGTTCTTTTTCTTTTATTTCTTTTGAAGTGGAATTTGCAAATATTATAAATTCCAATTGTGATTTATTATCTTCTAGTTCTTTTGGATCAAATCTTACTTGTATATTTACTAGTTTGTCTTTTTTAAAAGGATTTCCAATAGAACAGCCTACTATAGTCGCATTATATAAATTACAGATTGCAGAATCATTGCTTTTACTAGCGATATAATTTAAACTTTGAGAATGAACAATAAATAATTGTGCTTCATATGCAGATTCCCCAATATTAGACACGTTCACATCAACCACAACTTCGTCTCTTTCACCAAGGAGAAGTTCGTAGAAATTTGGTTTCACCGAAGAAGCTAATAATTGAGCACATTAATAATTTCCATAAATGTTTTTTAATTTAATATTTCAGTAATTTTAGTTATTCAGAAATATACCTGATAGATTTAATCGAGCCTTTACTTGCAGATCACTTTCACAAATATCATTATTACCACAATCTTTTTGAAAGGTGGCTTCAAATACACGAGCAGCTTCTTGTTGGTTTAATATAGGATAATTCTTTATATCAGGTAAAGGTTCTCCTTCAGCTGGCATAATTGGTTCTTCTTGTATTAATGAGTAATTTAAACGGAATTTAATAGGTGATTGAATATCACGTGTATTTTCCTAAAGATTATTAATAAGCATATTTATAATGAAGACATTGAGTCTCTGGTAAAAATATTATTTATAATATATAAAATATACCTTCAAATAAACTATTTCTTTTTGACAATGCTTCAATTTTGTTGTATCTAAATGAACGGTACGATTAACGTAATGTAAATGAGAATACCCAGTTCCAAACCAAACTCTAGAAAATTTTTTAACTCCAGTATAAGTTTCAGCTTCAATATAATAATTTAATTTTAGATTTTGCATATCTTCTTCTTTTACTAAAGATTTTGTCTCACAACAAGCTTCAAATGAGAAACTGTAACAAATTAATTACAATTTTATATGAAAATAATCTTACTTCCAAATTTTATTAAATTATACTTACCAGGTATGGTTTGAATCTGGATCTTCTGGACACCCAACTTTATTAGGATCTATAGGCTCCATTTTTTCTTGAAATGTACCATCTTTTTTTAAATAATGAATAGAAGTCGTAATATCAATGATTTTTTTCGAACGAAGAAGTGCTACAGCGTCGTTTTCATAAGCTCCTACTAATAAATCGAAATATCCATTTTGATCCATATCAATTCCACCACTTAGTGAATAGCCAAATGTTTGTAATGGTTCTGGCATATCTTCTGCATGTATAACCTAAAGTTAACAAATCTCCGCAATATAAAAAAGTATATTACGTAAATATAGAAAATTAGTTTATTTCCATAATATTGTAGATAATAATGTAACAGTACCTGTGATGGTACTGTGATTATTCCATTCTTTGAACCAAGATATATGTATACTGTTCCTTTTTTTTCATATGGGGCTCCAATAGCAATGTCGTCATATCCATCTTTATTTAAATCTTTCAGATTTGTCAGAGCAAATCCAAATCTATAATTAAATTATACTTATTTAATGTTGTATATTCAATTTTATAGAGTGTTTCGATCTTATCCAGTCATACGTACTCGGCATATTTTATACATCAAAATAAAACAAAAGTGTCATATAAACATATGTTATCAAAAGTATTATGATATCTTCTGGCTGCTACTAAACGTAAATATTCCTAAGCTACGAATACTTTGAGCCATAGTAATTCACGTTCGTTACCGCTCATTTCGTATACTGTTTTTCTTTTGTTATAACTATTTAACAATGCATACAATGACATATGTTTATATGACATTCTTTCCTTATCTATTTTGAGTTATAAAATATGCTGGGACATCTTATATATGTGAAGTTAAAAGGAAATAAAACCTTGATTCTTCACGCCCAACAAGTTTAATAGGTTTACTTTTTTCACGTTTCTTGTAAGTTTTTTGTAATTCAGTATACACATATACTGCACCCCCTTCTGCCTTATTGAAATAAAAAGGTGCAGCTACAATAAGATCATCAACTCTAAGAGCAAAAAAGTGAAAAAGTGTAATTATGCAATTAAAAAAGATATATGCTTATTATGTGCTTAGATACAATATATAAAGAATTATACTTGTCTCCATTAACATCTGCAGAAGTAATTTCGTATCCAAAACTTGAAGCAAATTGTTCACCATCCAAAATAAGAGCAACATCCATATCTGGCTTAAAATCGCGTCGCGTAAGTAGAACAACTTGACCTGTACCATTTGAACGCGGAGCTCCAGCAGCATAAGCTAATCCAGTACCAAAGAAATCACCCACAGTAACAGACATCCCTGTAAATTGATTTGTTCTGTTTTTCTTACTTGTACAATAACTTAATAAACTAACTTTATTATCTTCAAATACCATACTAACATATAGAAGAAATATATAATCTTCATATGAAATATTTACCTAAATAACTATATTTGTTAACAGGAGAAGAATCTTGCATTGGAGCATTATAAACTGTATTATCCCTAGTTAAAAATTCATCTGAAACGGTAAAGAGATATAAAGTCCCTCTCCAAGTATGTGGGCCGGGAGTACCAATAACGACACGATTTTCCGAAGTAAGGACACCACTGGTTCCTGCTTGACAATATCCAAACTGTTCATGTGCTCTGAAATAGAATCATAACTTTTGATTGATTCCTTCAAAAACGTTAATTGTAAAAATTATTAAATGAATTTACTTGTTGGTAGGTTTTCCAGAGCAAGGTTTTTTTAAATCTTGATATTTCAAATCTTGTGTCAATATATAACATTGCCCTTGACCCCATTGAGAATCTGCTGTTTTTACAATATGTCTATGAGCACAAACCTAGAAATTTATTATACTAAATTATATTCAATTTAATAGTATTAATAGGTAAAATATGATGAAATTTATACCATTACTTTGCCACCAGAACCTTGACTGCGTACTGTTACTCCTAACCATTGATTATCTTTAATTTCATCATTACCTGGTGGTATTAGATCATCAGATTCAAGATCTAAAATGCAGAAAACAATTTATTAAACGATTGGTAATGATAATAAATAATTGTATAATATACATGGTATTCCTTTTACAACATAAATGTTTCCTGTCAGAAACTTCATACAGTAAAGTTGTTGTCATTTATGTCTTCAAATTACCTAGTAATCTTTTCTTGTTTTATATTATATAATAACTTTGTGTCATTGTGAAAGAAGTAAAGGAAAGGAAGATGGGTAAATATTTGAATGTATTATAAAATAAAAATATTCTGCCTATTTTGGAAAGAAAATAAAATAAAAATAAAAGCTGAATAATATAAACAATTATCTATGAAATTTCATGCTATAGCAAATAAAGAATAGATATCAGAAAGATTATTAAGAAGCAACAATAATTAAATATATTATTCGTAAAACACATGAGAACATACATAATTTTATTCTTTTGTGTTATCTATAAATTGTGTACTTCTAAAATGCAGATGTGTAGTTAGTAAGAATATAGTTGCAAATATCAGAAAATGTTAATAGTGCATTTGGTAGAAAATATTCTTTGAATCACAAAATACAAATAATGCAATAAAATAATTTTTATATCATAACTTAAAATGCCATGCTGACATAAAAATGAGCATATCAATATAAATATATATGTATACAAAATCACAATAAAATAATTCATAATAATAAATTAAATGACTGCTCATTCAAATAACACCATTCAATAACTTACTTGTGTCATACAGACTCCCTTCTGCTGCTCGTTAACCAACACATAATTTAACAAAAAAATAATCTTATTATATGTATAACATAAAATAAAGCACAATAACTTAATGACTTTATGAAATAATAACATAAAAAAATGACATGCACAATGACTACACCAAAATCATATATAAACATAAGATGACACTTAGACAATACTATAGCATAGAAATAAAAAATATGTGTATAATTTTACTGATAAAATATAAATTAGCTTAGATAACAATACGTTATTTAGTTAAATTTTGACTTGTTTCAAATATAACAAGTTTTAACATACTTCTATTAATGTAACATTAGTATAGTAAATACAATATGCTTATGAAAATTAAATGTTTTAATACAATGTAGAATTAAATTTTATAACCAATAAATAAGATGTTTATATCAGTATTTCTGAAGAACTTTTTTAAATTAAAAACATACTTAATCGTCCATCTGTAATCACTTGAGTGCAATCTGTTTTATATGTTGTTAAAGGACATTGCCACAATGCACCGGATCTATTAGTTTCTGGTTGCCTATTTTGATCTAAAGGAGCTCCAATTAACATCCTGTAACAGATATTATCCTTAAAGCTTTCTTAATGCATGCTTCTTGTTTATCTAAGCCTTATCTTACCATCATATATTATATCAGTGATGTAATTAGTAGATAAAAGTATAAATTAATAAAATATTAACAATACAGTATTTTGTACATAATACATATAAGTATGTATTGTTATCTATATTATACATATATATGTATACATTCTCTTGATAATTTTAATTACAACAAAATATTATAAGTAGCACATACCAGCTTTTTGATATTGTTCCATCGTCGGAAGTTTCTTGATGTTCGGCTACAGAGTAACCGAAATAAGATCCATTTAATCCTTTTTTGATAACAGGTATTCTTGGTTCTAAATTAAATGTGTGCACTAAGCATACGTTCAAAACGATCAGAACCAGTTGATAACATTTCATTTTGTGGTTAACTTTAATCGTTCTTGCACATATAATATGATAAAGGTAAAAAGGTATAAATAATATCTGACCTCGTACAAGCTCTTATCGTTACAACTATTTTTATATACTTTTCCTGATTTTATTACTATAACATTCATCTGCACCTTTTAAACACGCATAGGATCTAGCAGATCCACCCACGCAATCTATACACAAGCTTTTTCGATAGCAGTGACAACTATATTTTATAATTTTATAGAAGGCAATATTTAATGGAAAAATATTACCAATTATATTTTATTAAAATTTTTATTGTTTAAAATTCTATGAAATGTCTATATGTATAAATATATGCTAAAAGTTTCTTATTTATGCATAGATAATTAAGCAAGATTAGTATAAAATAGTTTACTTTCTTAAGTACATTTCTGTTGTATTTTATTTTTATCATTGTAATTAATATTAAAAAATTATTAAAAATGCTTTGAATGTACATACATTTATGTGATTTAATTAATTAATATATATATTTATGTGATTTAAAGACCGATTAATAGTAGAACGATTCAGATTAGATTCGATTATAAAATATCGATAACTAACGATATCAAATAGCAGAATTGCACTATAGTTGCGTGTTGCATTACGAGTTACGAATTGTTTGTCAAATCAAGCGTATTTACTTATATGTTAAAAGGATGAAGTAATATTTATGACAGACAGATTCTTAATATTTAGTAAAAATGTATTATTTTAGACATAAAAAATTGGTTATGATCTTCAATATAGTAAGAAATATGGGTAAAGATACATCTTTCTAAATTATAAAGCCTTCTGCATTTTTTAACCTATTTTGACATATCGGTATCATAAGCTCCTAAACATGAAAGGGAGAATAATTTTATGAATGAAAGTAAATAATGTGCTTTTATAAAATATTTTAGCCACCCTTAGAAGATTTTATCGAAAAACAAATATATTATTGTGTGATGGAAAATTTGAAATTACACTTGATCAAAGGAAGCTCAAAACACCACAAGGAAAGATATTACAAGTGGAAAGCAAACCTTTAGCTTTAGCTATAGCAACAGAATGGGATATGCAGAAAAACATTATTGATAGAAGTAGTATGCATCTAGTAAGTTTATCTTCAAAATTATAAGTATAAGTATAGTACATAATTTAGTAAACAAGATCTAATATATTTATACATTTGATTTTACAGACAGCCCTGTGTAATACTGTAATAGATAATCCTAACAATCATACAAAGCAAGATATGGCAAATCACATTGTGAATTGTTTGGAAATGGATACAGTACTATTTCATTCATACGTAAATATGTTATATTGTGTAATGTTATTTATATGATGTAAGACATTTATTAAACAGAGAATAATTATAGGAAAATGAAGAATTATATAAAATACAAACTGAAAATTGGGATCCACTAATACAATGGTTTTGTGACAAATATGGGGTGAATTTGGTTAAAACTCAGAGTATAGAAGCTCCTACTGTATCTTCAGAAACTAAAACAATATTGACAAGACACTTAATGTCCTACAATTATAGTGCAGTTTATGGTAAATGATTTTCTTATTAATATATACAAATATGCAATCAATGTTACCAAACTATTATATTTGTAGGTTTTATGTATGGAGTCGATGCTCTCAAATCTGTAATCCTTACTCTAGCTGCAGCAGAAAGAGTAATTAGTATAGAGGAAGCAGTAAGGCAATCACGCTTGGAGGAAAATTATCAAGTGTGTATAATAATTTGTATACTAAAAAGTTTACAGCCAACATATGTTTCTCTGCTGAATGCTACTTTACTTTTTATTGTAGATTTCTCATTGGGGTTCTGTAGAATGGTTCCATGATCAAAATAAATATGACTTACAAGCTCGTTTAGCTGCAGCTATCTTATTTGTGCATTTGAACTCTTATTCTGTGTCATGTCAACCAAAAATAAATAACAAGAATGTTGATTAATTTATAAAAATTAATTGAATAAATTTTGTACAAAACTCGTACATGTGGCGTATTGGAATGAAATGAAACAGTAACAATATTTTTACTAGTTTGAAGTACGACAAGAAGATGGGTCAACAGAAGATAATGCCTCTACTGGTATGGAACAGTCAGATCCCATCCATTCTTTTGTACAAATACAACTGAAATAATTAATTGATATTTTATGTAGATATTAAAGATTATATACTAGCTATAAGTTAACTTACCTGTATGTAGCTCCATGATTTAAACATACTGCACCATTTTTGCATAAATGACGAATGCATTCATTTCTATGACATTCACCAACACCACGACCTGTTGCAGGACTTGAATTGGTTATTGGATAAATAGCAGTTTCTGTGCGTAATTCAATGTCAAATATACAACCAGAAAATCCAGTATGAAGGGGCAAATCGTGAGGTAAAGACTCAAAATTTTTTGATTTGTGTCCACCTGAACAGGAATAATTTTTACAAATAATGTTGCATCTATCTTCTAATATAAACTTTTTAAACAAAATTATCAAATAATAAAAAGCGAACCGATATAAAGTATTGGTGATACATCGAGTCGTGTCATGGTTCCAACCACTCGCCCAGTTATATTGCCTATACCATCCACTGCAAGCCATGCATCCCGACCCTTTCTTCCAATTCTAATCGTATATGCTATATGACTTTTACTTGCTGTTGCTGCCATTGTTGCAGCACTCAAGGGAACGTTTGTAAATATTCTACGAACGCCTAGAGAATATTTTCACGAAATTCAACAGGACTAAAAAATCTGTAAATATCTAAAATATTAAGATGTATTACCTGCTCCTAAATCCCAGGTTAACATAATATAACCACGAACATATGTTATGGAAAGATGATCGGATAGATCTTGGCGTGATCCACTTTGTCCTAAATAAGCTATCAAAGATATTTGTTCGTAAGTACGCGGTATGACCTTCAATTTCAATTCCATTGCATCTTTTATAGAATTTGAAATGCCGTAAGCAATGTATGATGAGAATCCAGGTACAAGTACAGAAAATGATGGTCGCATTATAACAGTATCTAGAAGTGTAGGATAAAAAATAATTATATTTTATTTTCGAGATACATATGTATATTTATAACAATATTACCTTCTTCGCATAAGAGCCCATGAGTTCCAAGTGGGCAAACGCAAACGAAACCCGTACCCGGTGAACTAATACAAGTTGCACCCAAAGCACAAGGATTTTCATCGCACGTTGAACGTTCACAAAATGGGCCTGTATATCTATTCAATTAAATAATATCCTATTTGACGATATTTTTTAATACCAAATTTTGTTGAATAAATTGCAAATTATCTTACCCAGCTATGCATCTACAACGTATTGCACCATTTATTTCTTCGCACGCACCGAAATTTTGACATGGATTTGATAAGCACAGAAACGATGTGCAATCTTCAATTTGAAACGTTTCTGTGGAATCACGGATGAAATGACGTGGTATATCGTTTATCTATATTAATAAAACATGCTTTTTAATTTTCCGAATGCTTTCAAATATACATATACATATGGAAGAAAGACGAACTTTCAATGAGTTCATACAGCCAGTAAATCCCATAGAGACATGAGCGAAATAGTGAGAAAATACCAATGGTATACCACCTAAATGTAAATTGGCATGTCGTGGAAGACTTCCACGTAATGGTAAAGTTTGTTCTCCACTGACTGCCGTTGTTCCATTTACTAGCAAACGAGCCGAACATTTGTTAGTTTCATTTTTCATGAAATATTGAAACCTGCATATATGAAGTAAGCGAATACAATGCATGGATATGATAAGCAATATATTATCGTTTTTGTATTATTTTACCTCGTATCAATATCCGCTTCATACCCGTTATCGATAGGCGAATCTATTTCACCCAATAACATAGTTTCAAGTCCGCAGGAGAATTGAAACTTTAAAGAACCATATTCCAAATATACCAACGCGTATTTTTCATCGTCGAAATAAACATGTAATATAATGCCATCCTTATAACGCGTTCGAAGCCTGACAAAAATTGTTAACGTTGCGTTATTGTCGTTTGAAATTTCTACATCAACGTGTTGTCTCGCGTAAGATTTTCCATTAAACGCCGCCCGTATTATACTTGGTCCAGGTTTACAATCTTCACGACGTGAACAGTTACACTAGAAAAAGATAATGTCTCTATTGTAAACATCGTAACAAAAAATGTATTTCTAAGTAAGAAAGAAAAAAATGTAATACTCGCATCGCTATCATTGCGCGTAGGTGATATTGTGGAACTTGAACACAAAATTCCATGGCATTCAGGAATTATGGTACTTTTTGAAGTTGTTGGTGATTCAGTTTTAGTTGAAAATTGTTCATGGTCGCTATCGGTAGTATTCTCATCGTATATCGGTTTTACAGAGCTACTAGTTGTTACAGATGAAGAGATATTGTTAGCGAAGGTGGACGTAGAACTTTCCACTTCTGTACTTGAAGATTTTGTTAATTCTGTAGAGGTCCACTTATCCGTAAATGTCTGAGGTATAGTTCTTGGCACTTCTATTATTGGCGTACTCGAGTCAGAGCTTTTATTTTGCCAAAACTCTGTAAAATTGGAGGAGGATGCAACGGTAGGGAATGAACCATTATTTCTTTCACTTTCTGTCGTCGTAGATTCCTCTGTCGTTCTTCCAACAGATGCAGTTACATCTGGATAATTCCTAATTGACATAAAATAGAATAGATCGTTCATTTTAGCATGCTATTATTTTTATACAATTACTCGTGATTTATGGATTATTGTTACCCTGTACTTGGAACATATCTCGTCGTGCTACTAGTTTCAGGAGTCGTATTGCCAGTGGACGTGAACAACCTGTCATCGTTCTCTTGATAAATAATTTCAGTCGTAGTCGTTTCATTGTGAATCGATTTCTGTGTCAAATATTCCGTCTCAACTTTTATCGGCGACGTTACCGAATAGACTTCACTTGAAACACTGGGAAATGTTCGAGGTTCTAACGAGACTGTTTCAGTTTGAGATATCTCCTTACTTGTAACAGAATACACAGCCGAGACATCGGTAACAAACGGAGTACTTTCTGTGGTACTACCACCAATGTTGCTACTAATGGTGGTACCGCTACTGCTACTAAGAAAGTTGAAACTGTTATCAGTCGAAGACGTTGTTTCTATAAAAGGGTACCATATTGTGTAGAGACGACTAGTGCTTTTAAGAGAAGTCGATGACTGTACTGTCGTGGAAGCAGTAATTGACGATGATGTCTCGATTTCTGGCAGTGTCGACGATTTTGGTGTAAAAGAAGTAAGAGTAATACTCCTTTGATCGTTATCAGTCTCGAGTGTTTCTTCGATAGTGGAGAAAGTCGATGGAAGATCGTAGACATTGCAAAATGGTCCACTGTAGAACGTTGGGCAAGCACAAGTGAAGCTATTGATACCGTCGATACAAGTGCCTCCGTTCTCACAATTTGCAAATTTCGACTCACAGTCGTCGTATTTTAGTTCGCATAACGCACCATGATAATCTGGTACACAGTAACAGACTGGTCGCTCGTCTTCAAATAAGCATACTGCATCATTTTCGCAAGGATTCTCTTCGCACGGTACGATGGCTTTATCGCAATCTTTACCAGTATATCCTTGTGAAGAAGGTTTAATATCAACATTTTACAATACGACAAAGTTAACTCTTTATAAATTATGAACTCAGTTTCTACATCATCACTGATAATAAATAATTACAACTTACCAAATAAACAAGCACAAGTGTACGAAGCAGGAATATTAATGCAAAGACCACCGTTCTTACACGGTGATGTGATGCATTCATCAATATCTTCGTCGCACAATCGACCTGTCCAACCTTCGCAATAAAAAGAATTAATCTTCGGTATATTTAAATACTCGAATTAAAATGTAAATTGCCTAGATTATTCAATAAAATATTACACCTTCCGAACAGCGACAAAAAAAAGAGAATCCAGGTCCTTCCACGCATTCACCTCCATTTTTACATATTGTATCGTTGCAAACCGAAGCATCGATTTCGCAATAGTCTCCTTAAAAAGAAACAAATTGTAAGATCGAATAGAACAACTTTTAGCGTACCAATTTTTACGCTTCTATACCTGAATATCCATCAGGACATTGACAAGTAATACCATCGTAATCGAGGCAAGTCCCGTTATTCAGGCATGGTTGATTCGAACATTCGCTATATCTTTGTTCACAATTTATACCTAAAAATGCACACCGTAATATAATGTACAATAGTAAAATATTTGATTATATGTGTGATCATACGAACATAAAAAATTGATTTCAATTTTACGATTTTTCTGTAAGGAAATCGAAGCACGAACATCATTTAATTTCACCCTCTGTGCTAACACGTCAACGCGTCGTTTTCGAAACATGCCATGAAAAGTAAACGAAGGAATCATGAATTACCTACAAACCCTTCAGTACAGGTGCAATTATAAGCTGCAACAGCATCGTTGCATGTCCCTCCGTTGAGGCAAGGATTCGACCAACAATCATTCCAATTGATCTCGCAATTGATTCCAGTGTAACCGTCGATACAGTAGCAAGAATAAGTGCTGTATTATATGCACGGGACGAATGACTAATATATTAATTTTAAAAACTTATACAGAGTCGCCTTTTATTTATAATCTTTCTTTTTTTGTTTTTTAAATTAAATATAAAGAGTGAGAAGTATTTATCTTATTTTGAATTATTTATGTACCTGTTCGCGTCTTCTAAACAAATTCCGTACATGCAGGGATCACCACTGCAATTTATACCTCGTGAAAAACCAATCGTTAAGAGAAAAAATGTTGCCAGAAGAAGAATCTTCTCTTTCGTAAACCTTTCAGTAAGCACCCTTCTATAATGCATTCTGAATAAAAATAGCGTAACTTTCACATAGATGTTTGCTATAGGTCATTCCAAACTTTTTATGTGATACGAAAACCCGTAAAGAATTTAGATTTATGAAATTATATGTATACAATTATTTTAATATAGATGGCAAAATCAATTAATTTCTTGTATCTCAATGCTTTGATTAATTTATCAAAAGGATCAAAGAAACGTGAATCGCAAATGATGCGCCACTTCCATCGGTTTACACTTTCTCAATGATATAACTATCCGAATGCGATATAGATATGCTTTATACTTTAACTAGTATTTGTAGCAGGTAGTTGACCACTTGGTAGTCTTAGCAACGCTTAGGACTATACAAACGATAATACCTATCGGATACGCTTGCGTGAAAATTTGATTCATCAATAATAACTTTTATTCAATTTTGAAACATGTAATAACTAATTTATCTAATGATTGATCGAAAAAATCTCAGTTCATTAACGAAAGATTAATTTTATTTCTATTTCATTATACTCATATTTATATGAAATATATGGCAAACGAAAATATTATTACTTTACATCGTGACTTTTATTTCTTCCTTTCTGGTTGACGATTAAACATGATACGTACGAAGTAATGGATATCGAAATACGAGCG